TCATACAGCTGAGATGATCTGCTATGTAATTGTCATCCATGGAAATATGTATTGCAATAGTGAAGATCTGATGTTGGTAACACCATTCCCACAGGTCGATGGCTAGGTACAGGAGGGATAAAGAATGTGTTCCTCCCTGTTTGTTTACATACTATAGGGCAGTTGTATTGTCCATTGCTAGTTGCACCATTCAACCCTCGATGATTGGAAGAAAGGCATGAAAAGCTCTGATGATTGCTAAGAGCTCGAGATGGTTGATGTGAAGTGATTGTTCTTGTCTCATCCATAGGCCATGAATTTTGTGATGAAGACAATGTGCTCCCCAGCCAGACGGGCTGGAGTCGGTGGTGACCTGCACTGTTGGATGGAAGAGCAGGAATGGTCGTCCGACATGGAGGTTCGGCATCAATGTCCACCAAATGAGTTGATTGGCTAACTCTGGTGTCACAGTCAATTTCATGGATGGGAGGTCTATCACCAGATTGAATTGTGGCAGGGACCATGATTGGAGCAACCTCATTTTGAGTTGGGCATGCTGGATTACTGAGGTTGTGGATGCTATGAGCCCGAGGAGTTGTTGAACATGATGGGCTGGAATGGAAGTTTGAGACTGAAAGGGGCAAATTTCCTTCTTTAACCTTATAACTCGTTCCAGGGGGACGAAAGTCCTGGCTTGCATGGAGTTGGAGGGCTACAATGTAGGTGACTGTCTGTGCTGGTTCAAGATGAGATTTTGTATAGTTTACTTAGAGTTCGAGGTTCTGAAGTGTGTTGAGCGTGATGGTTGTAGTTCTCATGGCGTTTTGGTATGACATCACAACTATCAGCCAATCATCTATGTATGGGTAGATGCGAATGCCCTAAAGGCAGAGATGCACTGCGACTGGTGCCATGCACTTTATGAAAGTCCTCGGCATCATGGAAAGTCCGAATGGTAGAGAACAGAATTGGTACACAATGTTGTCGAATTGGAATCTGAGAAATTTTTGATGAGATGGATGGATCGAAATATAGAAGTAAGGGTCCTGTAGACCAATCACAACAAACCATTCTCCCCTTTCTCTGGGTTTTTTGAAAAAGCTGGCGTTGATGGGACTGATTTCAATTCCGAAAGGATGATGTTGATCGTGGCGGACCTTGAAAGGACCTGTCAACTGGTTGTGATCTGAATTGTTGATATGGCTGGAATCTCTGATACGATTATTGTTGAAATGATTGTGGATAGAATTGAATCTGTCTCTATTGAGGTTGTTGATATTGAAAGGATTGTTAGTTGGTGCATGATCTTGCCGTTTTCCATATTTTATAAAGGTTTTCCGTAGTTTTTTCTGTTTTGTGATTAAAGAGACCTGTGTCGTTGAAGGGAAGGTCTTCTATTCTTGACTTTGCATCATCAGACAATCCAGTGGATCTAAGCCAGGCGTGTTGGTGAAACGCTATCGAGGATGCTAGGGTCTTCAATGCTGCGTCAGCTGCATGTCTAGCCGCAATCCTTTGTAGTTTTGCTAGCGAGGTGGCCTCGATATGGAAATTAATTCAGGTGCGGATTCCATCCCATCGCTGCTTGATAGTTGACGACTCTAAGTGAAAAGGATTGGAGTGAATAAATTCTTCTACCAATGATGTCAATTTTCTGACCCTCCTTATAGTAGGGGCCACTGAAGACTTATTTCTGGACTGGTTGGACTCAACAATTATAGAATTGGGAGTAGGATGTATAGCCAAAAACTCCATGCCCATTCCATGTGTCTTGTACAGGTTTTCAGTCCGCCTTGAGATTTGTAGTGTAGATGGTGGCTGGTCCCATGCTTCCTTGATTAGTTTGAGCATTGATGGAATAAAAGTAAGACTAAGTGGAGGTGTTCTTTCTTGATTAATGTTGTCGAAGATTAGATCTGCCTCAGGTGATGGAGGTTCTCCGACATGTAGTTGTAGGGATTTAGCCATTCTGTATATCATCTGTGAATAAGAAGTGGAATTCTCTGAAGGAGATGGAGGATGATTATTGATAGCATCTGAGGTTGGTGTAGGGAGGTTGGATGGTAAGGTAGTGCGTATCGCACACACTTCGGTTCTTGATAATATGAACGTCCTTGGTATGGTTCCATGTTATATGGATCGCAATACGGGACAACTTCCTCCACATCAAAATGATGGCACCGTGGAAAATTGGTAAACTGGTAGTACTCTCCATATGGAGGCATATATCGAGGAGGAGAAATATACTTCCATTTCTCCCTTTGTTTTCTGGGAGAGTGTTGAGGAGAGAGTGATCCTGAAAGTTGGACTTCAATCGCCCATCCTGATGCAGAGCTAGAATGGGCCGAGGCCTGGCTGGCTGGTGCATCAGCCATTGAGAGGCCAGTGTGCCTCTGTTCCTACTGATGCCCTCGGGGTGAGTGCTGAGGAGAGCCCAGTCCTGAAAGTTGGTTTTCAATCGCCCGTCCTGATGCAGGGCTAGAATGGGCCGAGGCTGGCTGGCTGGTGCATCAGCCATTTTATAGGGCAGTGTGGGGAGATAGACTACCAGTTGACACCAGAGCATGAGCCTTTTTTGTTCATGGCCGTCTCTGAAAGGTGAGATCGGAGCCTTTGGAGCCTTTGCTTAAGTGCTGGCTTGGTCAATTTTTTACATGCTGCACAAGAATGGGTTGGGTGTTGCTCGCCCAACCAGAATAAACAGCATTTGCGGCCGTCAGATAATAGGATCTTATTTGAACAGCCGACACACCTTTTAAAAGGGGCTGTTGAGGCCACAAAAAGCGGGAAACCAGAGGGAGAGACAGTTGAAGAGATGGGGGAGAGGTGGGAAGCCAAAAACGGGAAAGGCAAAGAAACGGAACTAACTGACAGGGGAACATCAATTAGTTGATTGGAAAATAGGAAGCTATCCATTTATGTGTTGATTAGAAGAGGAAATACTAATATAGTCGCTAAAAATTGCTCAGAAACATGCTCTATTCTTCTGGAGATCCGATGAGCACAGCGGAAAAAAGGAAATGAGGGGAATCCTAGGTGGGTGGAGCATGTGCTCCACAGGGGAACATCCCACTAACTTTGTACTTTTAACCTCTAAAATCTTCCAAGACATTCAGCGCAGGTGCAGAACAACCCATTTGCGTGCATTCGCAGAGGCCATGACGAAGAAGGAAAGTATAAGGAAAGAAAGAGAGTTTGTTGTTGGGCTATTGAGTTGTAACTGAAGAAGAACTGAAGCTTAGATCTATTCCCAAGTTGATGTTACTTTGTAATAAAGAGAATATCATTTTTCATTTTTTACCCACTGCGTCTGGTGTGGTTTATTTTTGAAGTAAAACTTTTTAATGGAAAGCTATTTTGAAAAGTGACAAGCCTCGGTTGGGTTTTGTCACAAATTGGTGGCAGTGGAATGGGATCTGAAAATTCAGTGGGGATTTTAAGAAGAGGTCTTGGAAGATCCTGAGTGGTAGCATTTAGAGACCTGGTAGTCCTGGACTCAGTGCTTTTCAACATTTTTATTAATGACCTGGATCAGGGGGTGCAGGGAATACTAATCAAATTTGCAGATGACACAAAATGGGGTGGAATAGCTAATATCCCGGAACACAGAAACAAAATTGATATAACACATGGACACGTTTTAGAATGATTAGTTTAAAGTGAAGAAGAGGAGCATCCTCATACTGCTTCTCTCTGTAGTCATTCATGTTGCTTTCCTCACAGGGGGGATGCCTTTTTGAAGCCTTCTGTATCTAAGGAGGCTTATACTGATGGACAGAGAAATAAGTGTATCTGCTCCTTGAAATTAAAGTGTAATCACCATGAGCTTAGTATTCATAATTTTATATATAATATAAATTACACGCAGGAAAGCAAATTTAAAGATATTGGTGACAAAGTAAGATTGCCATACCCCAAATGATCAATCTTTTTCAAAAATCATAGGACTACGCTGCTAAAAGCCCCTGCTGATTTAGGATCAGAGTTGAGGCTACTTGATGCTGACTCAAAATACATAAAGCTGGAAGTTAAAACTGATACCTAATTTTTATAGAGGGCTGACTTTTTTCATTGAGGGCCAATCCTTTGTTCATTGTCTGTTCTTTTTTCACATTACTTAGAGGCAGTAAAAATAAGTAAAATACCTTACAGTCCATCTCAAAATATAAACTTTGAATGTAGTTTTCTATATGACAAGTATTCTTGTCAGGAGCTTGTAGAATGCCAGACTGGGACTGGACAGACCTGAATTCATGTCCCCAATGAACCATGAAGCTCACAAGGTGAATATCTGCTACTGTCCACCTAACATAACTCATGAGAATGTTTTGAGACTAACAAGGCATCAGAACAAAATCACATGCACCATCTTCAACTGCTTAAAGAAATGAAATAAACCAATAAGTACATTTGCTTGCAGCAGCGCAGCTGTGCTGCACAAGTTGACAGTCCTGAACGCTTTTAGAATAAGGAAAGAGTGGTGGCAGTAAGGAGGGATCAAAATGTGATGACATTTTAATGCTGTTAATATTTACATTGATCCCGTGACTATTTATTTTTAATGCAAAAATTATCTGTGACTTTCCTTGCAACAGCTTGTAACCATAATAATGAAGGGCAGCATCAGAGCCCCTCAAACACATAACACAGCCTTTATTAGTGTTTATATAAGTGACACAGAATAATTAAACCACATTTAGCTTGAAACTGACCATGGATTCCAGAAGCACAATTCACACTTGGCAAGGCAGTTTTTTCCCCCAACACAAGCAGTTGCTTAAGTAGCTTATAATTAAACTGTGAAAGAGAAAGTTCTTTTTTGTGACTCCTAAAGGATTCAGTGTTGTTTTTCTTTAGAACATGTCTTTCAGAGATGTCCTTTGGCAAGAATTTCTTGTCCCCCTTCCCAAAATTTTATTATATAAAAATAGAATAAAATTTCTTTATATACAAACATTACATTACATGATATATAGGTTAAAAAAACACTACGAAAAGACAGGCCATGGGCAACAAAGCAAAAGGGCAACAAAGAAAAAAGTTAAATACTGCACATTTCATAAAAATTACATTAACTAGAAAGAGTTTTTGTTTGCAAATATCAAACAGTACCAATGTAATTGGAAATCTTTCCAAACAATTTCATTTACACCCCATTTATATTTATATCTATATCTACCTAAACCCACACATGGATACATACATGTGTATGTATGCATTTCCTTTTGTGTGTACAGTTGCATGTGTATCTGCATGTATATACACATACAACACACAGGCATATACACCAGCATACGTACACCCAGCTATGCTTGTACGCATGTTATATGTATGCATATATCTTTGGATACATACATACATGCATGCACTTACACATAGTCATATTTTAAGGCACATTTTGCTTATTTTTATTTACATCAAAACCTGGTCAATAATTTAAGAACTTTGGGGAATGATCTAGTAGTGTGCACTGAGGGAGGCGCATGCTTGGGGTAGGACTGGGTGGGGATGGAAGCAGTGTTTAATTGTTTTAAAAGAGAGCTGCTAAGGTACAAACACTGTTCCCATTAACTTGGCAACTTGTAGGGATTGGCTGTGCCCAGAAGGTAGTGTGAAATACAGTTTGAACATGCTCAGAGTCACTATCTTCTTTCTCCATATCACAAAGGCAGACAGAAGGAAAGAGAGAAATCTTCTCCAGCAAATGCATCACATTAGAAATTCAAGTTCCAGAGCCCAGCACCTGTTTCTTAAACAGTTCCCACAGTCAGACTCTTTTGAGCCTCTGCTCAAATGAAGCACTGACAGTTAGACTTTCTGGCCAGTCTCAGGTGGAGGGCCTAAATAACGAGTGGAGGGGGCTTGGTACAGAGGTACTGAGATCTCCTGGAGGTCTGGCAGCCTCCCTGGATGAGGAGGGGACAGCAATGTCATTGTTCTGTCATAATCCCTGTGCAAGACTTTCTCATAAACACTCTGCAGCCCCACAGTCTTTGGCAGTTGGGCATGATAATAGTTGTCTCGGCGCAGGGAGTCCCTTGGCAATGAGGTGCTTTTGCAGAAGGTGGAAAGCTGGGTCTTTGGGTGAGGGGAGGAGTGAGGATTGGACCGACCACAGGAGGGGCTCCAGCATCGATCTGAGTGACCCAGGATCTTGCATTCAGCAGTACATGCCCACAGTCCTAGAAAAAAGGCAAATGATAAGCAGATTGGTCAGCATGGGCATGCAATAAGCAGAAGACCGCTATGTAGTACAAGGGCAGCACATGGAACAGCACTGGATTAACATTATCTGTGAGGGCAAAGCTGAAGGCAGGTGAGAAAATAAGAGATCTGTGAAGAACTGTTTGATCTCTTTGAATTCTAAGAGTTCTGCCAAGTTTGGCTGAAGGAAGACCGGAAGCTCTTCCACGTGGAAGTATTATGTTTTCCTCTACACACAACATATTATTTGAACAATGCCCCCGAGGCCTGTTCAAAATATGTACCTAGAAAAAGGAAGTATGGAAATGAATGAATGAATGAATGAACGAATGAATGAATGAATGAATGAATGAATGAATGAATGAATGAATGAATGAAAATTACTGCAAAACTGAACATTAGTTCTATTCAATTTCTTGGAAGTAACCTACTACATGTTTCTGCTGTGGTGGATGCAGCAGGGCTGAGGAACACCCCGCTGAAGCATATGTTGTAGGAAGCAGGGATAGGACTGGAAGGTTCCAAACAGTGGCTCCATGCAAGTGCAGACCCATATGTGTAAGTCACAGAGACCATGTTGAGAACAAATGCTCCTATGCCCAGCTGCCACCAAAGTTGTGTCAAACTAACTGGGAAGTGAGAAGCAAGGTAACACCAATTATTTCCCAGGAGTGTGGAAAGAGGTGACTGCAACATTCTCTTTCTTGATGAGACTAAATTTCCTCATAATTCCTTGTGAAGATGTGGCAACTGGATCCCTTGTGGACATTTTCTGTCCAGAAAAAAAAGACAAGAAAACAAAGGTGCTTCGTTTGCACCACTTACAAGGCCCATCAGAACAAACCAAAAGTTTCATCTAGTCTAAGATCCTGTCCTCAAGTGGTCTGCTACATACTTAATAGGTCCAATCTAATATGTTTCATTCAGGCTGGTGACAAAATAGGTTTAAATTATGGTATTCTGAGCCAATTAGTGCAGTTACACATATTAACCAAGTGATCAATTATAAATATTTTAATACATCAAAAGAGCAAATCCAATTAGGCAGGCAACACATTTATGTATTTGTTTTACAAAAATATATTGATTCTCATAATAAGAAGTACTAATAAATATTATAGATGGCAGGCTTCATCTTAAGAGAGTCATATCTGAAAGATTTCCATGGAAAAGATATAACAGGGTTGTTCTCTGTTGCTCCAGAACTGGCAAAACTAGAGCCAGTTGGTAGAAATGGCAGAGAAACAGACTTTGACTAAACATTAAAAAACATTAGGTTAAAAATGTTCACAACTGCAACAGTCCACTGTGGGCAGTGGCAGATTTTCTTCGGTGGAGGGCTTAGAGCTATTGAACAGGAATGCTCTAATTCAGTGGCTCCCAACCTTGGGGTCCCCAGATATTCTTGGATTAAAACTCCCAGAAGCCTTCACCACTAACTGTGCTGGCCAGGATTTCTGGGAGTTGTAGTCCAAGAACATCTGGAGACCCAAGGTTCAGAACCACTGATGTATTGTATCCTGCACTGTAAATGCTACATTCACCAGAGGATTGGTACAAATCAGTCTCTCTCAGCCTGGTGCACTCCAGATGCATTGGATCACCAATCCCACCATCTCCATTGGTATAGTCAGTTGCCTTGCTAGCCATGTCTGTTGTGAGTTCTAGGGAAGGCTGAACACTGTGTGCTCTTGAAGGTCTAGGATAATTGTATTTTGTTCCAGTTGTATACATTATATGAATCCATCCAGAAATCAAAGTCTGTTTTCCTTCCTTAGTGTGATTTTAATAATATGTAGATATATGCATATTTAAACATTAATTTGTAGTTTGACGAATTACACGTGGTGGAATCACTTAAAAACCACTTTACTAGTTGTAATCTTAAATTCTATTTTTTTTCTTTACACCACAAAGTGTGATGCCAGCCATGCCAAAGTATTTGAAAATAAAACTTGAGTCTGAACATGGGTAAAGCTGAACCCCTGATAAATTCTACTAATTTAAACAGTTCAGCATATGCTTAACTTTCTCATTCGAATTGATGCACTGGTGGGAATTGGACTAGATTACCTTAGGGAACATCCCAGTGCTTTAATTACATGAATTCAAACTAATACAAGTATTTGAATTAAACTAGTTTGTGAATTAAATGAAACATTTCAATGAAACTGCTAGCTTAGAGGTCAGTTCACTTCCTCTCAAATGTACCAGTGGACTCATCTCAGAACTACAAAGAACATATCAAAGAACATAACTACTTCATCATATCCATGACAGTGCTTTCACAGCCATTGCAGCTGTGGTATATCTGTCAGTCTCGCTCACACATTAAAGAACACAGTGGTCTGAGTGCCAACTTCAGGGCAAATTCCATGGCCCATCCATTTGTTTGCCATCTGGTCAACTGAATTCCCATGGCATGGTTTTGGCTGCAGTGGTATAATAACCGAGTCAATTATCACTATCAATATACTCCTGCATTTTAGGAAAACAGAAAATAAAGGGCAGGTGGTGAAGAAGTCTAACTGCAGATATCTGTCTTTTACTGGAATCAAATCTACCATGTAAAACAGGCTTCTCCAGACCAATGACCTCCAGATGTGTTGGACTATAACACATCTGGTAGTTAACACAACTGGAGAATACTATGTTGGGAGAACACAGATGTACAACAGACAAAACTACAGGTGCCTTTAATTTCTATGTTTGGGGTGGCTTTGCTTGTGTTCGATATCTATGTAGCTATATTTTCTTAAGGACAAAAGGACAAAGACCAAGGCTCACGTAGACTATGGGTGGACAAATTCAAGGAGAAAAAGAGGCGAAGCAGGAACATATGAACTTGTGCCAATGAATTTAATTTTTCTGGTCAGTGAGATTTAGTTTGATGTCCAAGTGTATTATTCATCATTACACTTCTATTCTACTGTTCTTCCAGGCAACTCAAAGTAGCACAATATTTTCTCCATGTTATATTCCTAATATATCTGTAAAGTAAAAGTAGTTTACTCTAACAGAAAGCAATCTGGTGAGCTTCATTCATTCGCAGCCAAGTTCTCCTATTTAACCCAAATCTAACATCTATCCATCACACCATATTGGCTTTCAGGAAAACAGATAATGTAGAATTGGTGGCCCTCTAGCTGACAGAATCCAATTCTTATTCATCCTGGCCAGCCTAGCAAGTAGTCAGAGATGGAAGGAGTTCCAGACTCATCCAGTGAGGGCCATTGGTTCTCCACCCACATGTTTCCACGCATAATTTCCCCCTACCCCACTTTGAAGACAACATTGGAACACAGGAATGTCATCTTTAATCAGGATGATGAGGCAGTGGAGAAACCTGTTTGCTCTCCTGCTCTTAGAATGACACCAGCATGGCTTGAAACAGCTGGTGTGGAGCCATACTTTTATCAGTAACCACTGTACAGTATAGTCTTCCCAAAAAACCTGTGATCTGGATAATGTAAGATAAACATCCTGAGTTCTTTGGGCAAGATGATCATGAGTTAAGTAATTAAAGAACCCCTGCTCCTTTAGTTTCCAGTGATTCTCATACACTCAAAATTTTAACCCCTTTTGTTTGAGTATATTCCCTAGCTCTGAAACATAGGAATCTGTTGCTGTCACCAGAAATTGTGTAAGTGGGTATAATTAAGTGTTACTGTGCTTGTGGCTCTGCATATTCCTAAATCCCCTCGAAACAAGGAGAGTTTCCAAAAACAGTAGAGTGGAGTCCAGTTCTTTGAAAGTTTTTGGAAGTGTACCCTTCTGGTGCAAATGTTTTAAGGTTCCATATTGCTCATAAAATAATATGAGGGAATGGGGGAAGGGGGAAAGGAATCTTTACCATTCTGCATGTGAGTGATGAGGTCCTTCTTTAGGGCATCCCCACTGATGTCAGAATCACTGTCGTTGAAGTCGCTGTCACCTTTGCCACTGTCCTTGCCACTGAACTTCTCCGCTTCTCTGCCTGCAATGGTGTTGAAAGAGTGGCCCTTCCAGATGGCCACAGGTGGGGCTGATTCTTTGCTGTAACTAGGAGCAGAGGTGTAAGACTGGAAGAGACAGAAGAAAAGATGCAGAGGTAGAGATGGAAAAGGAAGGAGGGGCATGAAAAAGACAAAATGCAACAGGGTCAGAAGATGCAATATTACCATCTCACCATCTACTCAAGATTGAAAACATATCAATTCAGCTGCCATAAATGGGTGGGGAAAAGTTCACAACCCAAGTGCTTTGTTTCACTCTGGCTGCCAAATAACTGCAAAAGCAAACCGTTCTGCTTGGGGGGGGGGGCATTACCTACAAGAAGCATTATAACATATTGGGGGACCAGCTAAGCCCTTAGAAGGAACGGGGCGTTCCTGGTCTCCACCAGGGAGTGGTAAAAGTCCAGGGAATCAGCCGCAGGGAAGCGTTTTACCTCAAGGTTTGTTCCTCGAAGTCGGCTTTGACTGTCATAAAGGCTGGCGCTTTCCTGGCTGTTCTCGGAAGCGGGGATGTCCTCGCTAGCTGGCGAGGGCTCTGGGCTTGCAAAAGAGGATTTACTGGGGAAGGAATGCATTCCGAAGCCACTGCCTTGGGCACCAGGGCTGGGGGACGCCAGGCTGCCGCCACTGCCGCCGCCGCCGCTCACGCTGCCTTCCGGCCGGCCCTTCTCGAGGGGCAAAGCGTCCAGCGGCTCCTCCAAGGCTCCCGTCTTCTTCTTCTTCTTGCGCCGGTTGCACGTGGTGGCGATGGTAATGATGGCCACTAGCAGCAAAGTGCAGCTCCCGGCCAGCACGACGATGACGATCAGGGGGACGTCCCACTGCACCGCCTTCCCTTCCCAAGAGCTGGCCTTGGCGGCCGAGTCCGGGCTGCTGCTGGAGGGGGGCGGCAAGGCGGCGGTCACCTGGAAGCTGACCGTGGCTGTGGTGGAGAGGGGCGGGCGGCCGTTGTCCGACACGGTAAGGAGCAGCGGGTAGACTTGGTCCAGTTCTTCCTCCGAGAGGCTCCTCCTCAGCACTACTTCCCCCGTCTTCTCGTTGATAGCAAAGAGGTCCAGCGCTCGCAGGTGCTGCTGTTGATCGCGCTGCTGCTGCTGCTGCTGCTGCTGGGACAACAGGTCTTCCTGGAAGGCGAATCTCAGTTCCGCGTTGACTCCCTCGTCGGCGTCTCGGGCTTTGACGTGCGCCACCAAGGAGTCCCTGGCAGCTTTGCTGGACACCGCGATCTCCAGGGAGCCATTGCTGAACGCTGGGTGCGTGATCACCGGCGCGTTGTCGTTCTGGGCTGCTGCTGCTGCTGCTGCTGCTGGGACAACAGGTCTTCCTGGAAGGCGAATCTCAGTTCCGCGTTGACTCCCTCGTCGGCGTCTCGGGCTTTGACGTGCGCCACCAAGGAGTCCCTGGCAGCTTTGCTGGACACCGCGATCTCCAGGGAGCCATTGCTGAACGCTGGGTGCGTGATCACCGGCGCGTTGTCGTTCTGGTCTACCACCCGCACCTTGACAAGGGCGGCGCTGGAGAGCTGCGGGGAACCTCCATCCGTGGCTTGGACGGTCAGATCCAGCTGCTTCAGAATCTCATAGTTGAAAGTGCGCAGCGCATAAATGGCTCCCGTGGCGGGATCCACCGAGACGTAGGTGGAGATGGAGGCGCCCATGATTTGGCTGTCCAGCAAGCGGTAGGTGACCTTGCCATTGGGCCCGAGGTCCGGGTCGGCGGCCTGGACGGCAGCGAGGTAGGCGCCCGGTGGGTTGTTCTCGAGGACGGCCACCTCGTAACGGGCCCGGGCGAAGCGTGGCGCATTGTCGTTCTCGTCGGCCAGCCGCACGGTGAGGCGGCGCACGGTCTTGGCTGGCGGCGAGCCCAGATCCTCGGCCACCACGGTCAGGTTGTATTCGGCCACGCGCTCGCGGTCCAGCGGCCCGGTGGTGAGCACGACGTAGCTGGCATCGTAAGCGCGCTGGAGGGCGAAGGGCTCGTGGGGCGCGGCCAGGAGGGCGCAGCGCACCTGGCCGTTGGCGCCCGCGTCGCTGTCCGAGGTGCTGACCAGCGCCACCAGGCTCTCCGCTGGCGCCGCCTCACTAACATAGGCCACCGTGGTTGCCCCCGCTGGAGCCGAGCCCGAACTCTGGGA